TCTCCTCTGCATCCCAGATTGGTACCGTCTTCCCCCAAATACAACGCACCCTGAGGATGTATGTATACGAGCTATATTTCTGGTCAGATGCAGTCGTGATGAGCGAGCAATTTGTGAAGTTTGTCTTCCTCTGCATTCCAGATTGCTACCGTCTTCCCCCAAATACAGCACACCCTGAGCATGTATGTTTACAAGCTATGTTTCTGGTCAGATGCAGTCGTGATGAGCTCGCTTTGTGTCCAGATGAAGATAGTAGTGCGGTAGTTTCTGGTTTGTACTATGTAGGCTTCTGGTCACTTGTCGTGGCGGTTGCCGCCTGATGGAATTGATGTGTCTATAAATAGTATAAAATAAGATTGTTTGGATTTTGGTCTATGTCTTTACTGTCCATGCACTCGACCGTCCTCGAGGTTGCTGCTTATATTACCCTTTAAACACTTTTTTTGAGTTGAATTTGGATGGCACCCTTGAGTTGAATTCGAGCACGCTTGAGTTGGACGCGAATACACGTAAATTTTGAGTCCATGGACAGTCCGTCTTCCTGCGCTCCCCCTTGCCTCTCCCCCTCCCCCTCTTCCTCCTTCCTTCCCCCTCTCTCCTCCCCTTCTTCCCTTCTACCACCCCCTTGTCACCCTTGAGATGAATTTGAGGACCATTGAATGTGAGTACCTGTAAATTCGAGTACCCTTTTTACGGGCAGCGAAGAGGGTCAGTCAGATTGACCCCGCATACGAACAAGAGCCTTCCTCCATATAAGATCCGTGGAGGTCTTTCTTTCTTCTTCGTTGAGAGAACACAAAAGAGGTGCAAAAGGCAATATACTTCGTATCAACCATATTTTCGAGTTAGGAATAAGTAAAACGATGAGGGCCCCTAAAAGAGGCCACTTGATAAGACCCCACTCAGATTGTCAAATAATGGAGCACAAATTTGCAACATATGGGCATTTTCAACACTTTGAAAACTTATCACTCAAAGCTTTAGATACAGCAGAACATATTCGCAAGGTGCCGCGTTATTAAAAAAAGAAAAAATGCTTTGAATTAATTCAATTTCATTGTTACAAACGATATTCCAGACTGCTTGGTGATAATGAATGCAAATCAGAATTCCATGGCCATACTTGAAGCTGGTGAATTACATATACGGATTGTCTAGGCTACCAGAGTGGCCCGGGGTCATTTGTCCGGCCGGGCCAAAAATAAATAAATAAATAAGAAAATTAAATTTTAAATTTTACTCTAAATTTGGTGAAGAATTTCGATGTGACCCTGAGGCAAAAGTTGTTCAGTTTATTTTTCTGCATAACTTAATTTTTTTTTGGGATTTTTTGGATTTTTTTTTTTTTGTTTTTGCTGGGGCCTTCCCTGGTCCTTGCACGGGCTGGCCACCGGGGACCCAGACGGCCCGGCTGGTAGCCTAGCGGATTGTGTGTTTGATAGATTCAGATATTCCAAGCAAATTACAACAAAGAATTCATTATCCCATCGTTGTGAATGATGATGCTTTAGAGTTTATATATCTTGTTTATCATTTAATTACTCAAATAGTCAATTACTCTTGTATCGTATAATGAGACTTTTTATTCAAATTAGTTTGGAAAGAGATTGTACTTAATTTTCATACAGTTGTTACAGCGTGTTTGTTGTACCTCGCAGTCACTCGTTTGGTGATAGGCTTTTCTACAAATTTATTATTTCATTTAAATTTAGGATGGATTTGGATGTGTATTTTATTTTCATTTCTTCCCAATAGTGGTTTACGCACCACACTTAGGATGTGGCGGCGCTTTGCGCCTTTGTGGGTTCGAGTTCCGCTAGCCGTACACTAGAAACGAAGAGCGATATGTATGGTTGAGGCCTTATTTTCACTTTTCCGGCACTATCTGTATCTTTATTTATATCTTTAGTTAGAATGGTTTCTTACAAACAGTTCCAGTGGGCGCTTTATTAATTATCTTTCTTATCCTTCAAGTCTCCATATTCATAACTACCCTGTCAAAATACACAAAAATTCTATTTATTTAACCATTAAAATGAATTTGTTACCCTTATTCCCAGAAATACAAAATCATTTCGAAATTTTTGAACACCTTTGTGGGTTTCATGTGACTCTTGTCACTTCAGCTAAACCCAAAATGAAACTTCCATTTTGTGGAGCGGGTTTTTACAGAGAGGAGTTTAGCCAAGTCCCTGGACAGTCCATCGTCCTGCGCCCCCCCCCCTCTCTTCCCCAATTCCCCCTGGTGCGCCTTCCTCTTCCCCCTTCTTTCTCTCGTCTCTGACAAAAAAAATAAAAATTGGAATTGGATTGTTTTGTCCTTTGCTGCAGCATATGCACATAATTGCCAAGTGTCAGAAGCTCGTTGGCACGCTGTCATCACATGACATCACTTGCAGGGATGCGGCGGATCAGCTCTTTTTCTTACATGCATTGTTGGAACAGGCACGGGCGCCGATTTATGACGTAGCGACGGCTGTCGAGGTTCTGACGTCGGGTGGGTATAAGCGGCTTCCGCAATGCATGGAGGATTTGGGCCTCGAACCCGTTCTTGGAGGGGAGGAGAGGCTCGCAGCGCTGATAAAGCTGGACACAGAAGTGCGCGCACAGCTTCTGGTTGCACGGATACCCCCACAGTTCTCGTCGATACGTATTGCTGACGGCTTTGCCGTGTTAGAGGTGCCGAGCGAGTTCCATGTACACATGACCGTTGGATATCGAGCCAATCTGAGTTTGTGGAGGATGCTTTACATCGACTTGTTGGTTGGGGAGGGTGGAGGGGGGGCGGGAGGTGCTGGCCATGGTTGCAACTCGAGTGCCACTGCGAGGGACAGGGTAGGACGTGGAGGTGGAGGAGGAGATGGTGGTGGCGGAGGGAGAGGTTTTGCATTGACAGACATACGGAGGGCAGAGCTTTCTGACGATCTGGAGCGCCGCATGGCATGCTCGGAGTACCCTCTTGGCGAGGTATACAATATCTTGCACGAGATCTGCATCACGTGGGTTATGGATACGCTGTATGGTCAAGCGAGGGCACTCCGACTCGGGCGGTGGAGAGACACGATCAAAGTGGATATCTTGACGGAAACTCGGTCAGCGAGTAAGGGCCCTGCAGCAGCCGGAACCCCTCTGAGCTCCGCCAAGTTCAGCGGCTCGGAATCTCAGGATGCCGGGGGAGCCGCAACGGGAAAAGGAGAAGGAGAAGCTGCTGGAGGGGGAGCAGGAGGAGGGGGGGGAGGATTGAAGTTGAGTTATTGGATTGAGAGTTCAAAAGCAGAGACCATTTCCGGACGCCCGGGGGACGGTGCTGCTACTACTGCTGCTGCTGCTGCTGGCGGAACCTTCGGAAAGGGCCGGGTAGCGACAATGGCTCCACCCGGTGGGCCATCTGGTGGAATTGGAGCGGTGAACGTGCCGGCGATGGCCGGCTCGCTGGTGGCAGGGGGGGGGGCGGGGGAAGGCCCAGCTGTGCCTTTGTCGGCGAATGTGCCTGTGCCTTACTTGTTGATCGAGATCGACAGCGAGCGCCAGGTTGTGGGCTCGCATTCGCCTCAAGTTGTTGACCCGAGGACAGGTGTCGACGCCGAGTTCCCTCTTAACCTCTCGCAGGTGAATCTTGAATTGCTGTTGCTGAAAGCGATAGCTTGCAGTATCCACTCTCGTCTCTTGGAGGCTGAGAAGGTCTTGCGAAGCAATAACCGGCTGTGTAGAGTGTCAAGTGATGTGGTCTTAGTTGTGGGCGTGGAAGGTGCCGTGGGAGGAGCAGATGCGAGCACCACAGACGGGGACCAAGTTCTCCTCCGGGATGATGGATTGCTGCCATTGCTCGAGGAAGAGTCAAGGCAGGAGGTTCTTTGGGTTCGAGCGTATGGACAGTCCTTTATGGGTCTTGCTGTCAGCTTGAGGTAAAGCCTGCATTCTCTCTCTGGGACTTGCATGCGCACCTCTGCTCCCTCTCTCTCTCCCTCACCACACACACATAAACATGGATGTACCTCTCTCTGTTCCATGCATGCACACCTCTGATCCCTCTCTCTCTCTCTCTCTCTCTCTCCCTCTCTCTCCCTCTCTGTCTCTCACCACAGAGACATAAACACATGCATCGGCTCATCTGCTACTCATCCATCGATTGAGGTAAGAGCCTGCATTCTCTCTTTGGGACTTGCATGCAAACCTCTGCTCCCTCTCTCTCTCTCTCACCACACACACGTAAACGTGGATGTACCCCTCTCTGTTCCATGCATGCACACCTCTGCTCCCGCTCTCTTTCTCACCACACCCACATAAACATATGCATCAACTCATCTGCTACTCCATCCATCAATTCGGACTCGATTGGAATAAATAAAACGGGTGTGCCCAACGTAAAGGATGTTATGCACTGGCTTTGTCAGATGTGTTTCTCAGACTTGCTGCCATTCTTGTCACGTGTTTGGACCGTCAGTCTGCTAGGATGGCAGGGTTGGCATGAGTAAAGTCCACCACCTTTCTCAGGGGTATCGGTAACTCCGGGCGATGCGGTGAGTCCTTATCCATCAGTCAAATGCATCCTGGACAGACTGTCTGGCCCGGATCAGCCTCCTGATGAGTCAGTGAAAGCCCGAAGAAACAGTCTGGCACAGTCATGCTTTTCTTTGTGGAGCTGTGTTGTGCATAGCGAATGACGACACACACACACGCATGCACACACACACACACACACACACACACACACACACACACGCTCACTATCGTTTACAACAGCACTGGCACTCCCGCCATTCATCTCAAACGACACACTCACGCCATCGTTACCTTTATCACTCCATGGCCAGGCAACCTCCATTTCATTTTGTTGTCTGGCCCCTGGAGTGTATTGATCCACATCTCTATGTGAATGCTGATGGTTCCATTGATCCAGAATCATTTAAACGTGCTGCTGCTCCTCGTGAAGGGTTTTGGGTCCGACGCCTGTCCACGTTATATCCTCGGGGATTTAACAGCGTCCTCGCACAAGGGCGATTACCGCCAGTCAGACGATCTCGTCGTCCGAACAGGTGGATTTGTACGAGAGGCCGCCCGAATAGTCCTGCTACCCGCCCTGCAGTGCAAACTTCTGCTGATAGGCCCTTCACGATTGACACTGCCCTGGGTCCCTTCTTTGCTGTGCGCTCAGCCCTGCGTCGCATGCTCACACAGGCAGCCAACTCGGAATGGGAATCCATATCTCGTGCCCTCTCTCAAGCCAGCTCTGCCTGGCGCTCTCGCTTGTTGCAATGGTTGCTAACGAATGTCTCCAACTCTGAGCTCACATCGAACATTTGTCAACTGGAATGCATGATCCGTGGTCTGCAATATTCACGCCAACCGTATCTCAGCCCTGGACATAATGGGGCTCAATTTTTAAATTTTATTAAGGTTATGCACATGCATCAGGTTGCTCGCACCACACAACTACGAGGCGTCCTTCGGCTACCAGAGGTCGTTGAATTACACCCACGACATGCTCTTGCCAAGGAGATACGCATCTGTGATAAGATGGTGCCCCCCATTCGTGTCCAGTTCTGCAATTTTACAGAAGTGGCACTTACCATAACAAGCAATATGCCTCTTCCAGACCCTGCCAATTGGCCCTGCCGACAAGCGTTTCCACATTGTGCGGACATTGTTGATGGTCATGTAGCTACAGTGGACTACACTGTTATACAAGATACACACTTGCGGGCTCTCTTCTTTGAAGGCTCCAAGTACCGCCTCAATGCCAACACCACAGATGTGATGAAAGCATTGAAACTCGGCCTGGATGAGTATATTGCCAAGTTCATAGCAGCCATGAGATCAGCACGCAACAATGAGTTTCTAATTGCCGACAGTCTCTCTCAGCTGCGCAGATGGCGCACAACAATTCTTTCAAGATGCCAACGGAATCTATCTACGTCACAGTACCAAGCACCCACTCAAGCTGCCTCGCGTGCTGCTAATACATCTCTACGGCAGCTACAACAGCAATTTGCTATAGTGCCTGTTGATAAAACATCGCACAACATGGCAATCTGCTGCAAGCGCTGGTACGGGTATAAGTTATCACAACACCTTGATAGTCCTACCTACGATTCGACATCGGAATCTGTGGCTGGCATCCTTGACCACCATGCGCTTTTCAATCAGCGTTGGGGCTATCGACATACTGACACCCTGCCCTATCTCTACTTTGCACTTAAAGCACATAAA